TCTATACAACGAAAGGAGACTGCGACCACACAAAAGGCCACACCATCTTGGTCTTCATACCTTCGATATTTATGTTGAATCCATGTCAATACAAACTACTCGTCCAAGCCAACAAGTGAAGAGTGTTGCTGAGTAAAGAGTAAGGTATTACGCTTATTTCAACGGCGATAGACTTGTCTGGTTGGATGAGATTTAAGTGAATCTGCAATCTTCCTTCCAGCGGGAGGTTCTAACAAGGATGCTGACTAGGCGAGATCGAAATTATAGTCATGCTCTAAGGTGGGTTCGCCTCTTCACAATCTTAAGCAATGGACATCCTTACTCTTAAGGCCTCTGAAAGGTATCTAAAAGCCTGTGAAAGATGATGTCAAACTATCCGATTTGAACGAGTCATGAACTGGGATTCTCCATTGCGTTTATTCTTGGTCAGGTCTCATCGAAGGCCGGTCTACAGAAAACTTTTCAAAGTGACCCACCTTTCTAACACCTGCAGTTGATTTGCTTGAGATTCACTTGTACATATTAAACTAGTAGAGGAGGTCTATAAGAGCATGTGTCTGTACGTGTATGCATGTTTTGGAGGTGACTTAAGAGCCTACGCTTTTGGACGAATAAGTGGGGTCTATTCATTAAATTATATGATTCTGAAATTGGCTTCCACAGAAGAAGGGCTACTTGAAGACAGGTAATCTCAAATGTGTCCGAGTCAGGTCGGACAAGTGGTCGTTTGCTCCTATTGAGTATACCTCCAATCCCTCAAGTGCCGTCTTCTTTAGCGCGCATGCATTTGATGTATGAAGGGAGTTTACCCATCGTGGTACCCCCAGTTCATGTGAAGGTCCAGAGTGCGCCTGACAACTTGCTAATTTCCACATCGTATCGCCGCTCCAATCGGTATTTTGTCTTTGGCCACGAAGGCTGGAAACAGAGGCCAGACAGGCAGTCCCGGAGGGGTTCGAAAATACATACACGCTTAGGCTCATCTACAAGTGGTCTACAGTGTGGTAGCCCCCAAAGGCCTGCGTAGACGGCAAAACTTGGTAGTTGGGGCAGGTACGAGTGGTAAAAGGGTGACTCTTAAGTGGAATCCCAACCTGCCGCAATTCGGTTGATTCTGCAATCCTTGCAAGGAAATGATGGTGAAAGCGACGATATTTTTACAGAAAGGAGGCAGCAAACAACCAGCAGGCGAAAAGCTGATTGGGAGGCCAGGAGAAGAATGACTGGGACGAGAAGGAGAGAGAGAGAGAGAGGGGCAAGAGGGAGTGTAGAAGTGGCGGAGAGGGCAGATGCGGAAGGCAACTATAAAAGATGACAGCACGGATTCTTGCGATGGTGATGATGATTTAGTATGATGGGGTAGGGCAGACGACGCTTTAGGGCACTCAACTAAGCATGTGGAAGATAAGTGGCCTGGACAAGTGGGTAAGAAGGAAAAGTGGCGCAATTTGTCGACAAGTAGTTACCACAAGGCCCCCTCCTCCATCGGCGGTCCGTGTCTGGCTGAATTGACGCTTCCAAGAAGGTCTATTTGTTATGTGCTGTATGTATAGTTCCCATGCTCTCGGAGGTACCAAAGTGAGTCGAGTAGTTTATGCCCATTTTCATTCATCCTGTCATACACAACGAGTTGAGGAGACGAAAGAGTATATACCTGAAAAGGGACAAGATGGTTTAAGACAGTCTCCTCAGGCAGAAGGTGGCGATAGAAAGGAAATAAGAAAATTGCAGCAAGCCAGCAAAGGGAGAGGTTAGAAAGAGATGCAGGTGACCAATTCAGCGTGAAGGTTGGATTGAGAAGAAGCAAACGGGGGGCAGAGGGGAGATAATTGGGAAAACGGGGTACATATTGGGTGACTTTATGGGGAGGAAAAGAGAAAATCTGAGGAATCAGACTGGCAAACTGGCCGGCCAGTTTAGTTGGGAAGAGAGCCGACAACTAAACATTCACCCGCTGATAAAAGGGTATAGGATCAAACGGCAAAATCCTTCCGCAGAGGGTGGGGGAGTAGGGTGAAAGAAGATGAACGAATGGCTTGTCTGCTGGTCTATTTTTCCTCATCTGTCAATGTGTTCGGTTGCCCTCATATATGCATGCGTGCACATGCGTGTTCGGGTGTATAGATGTGTCTCTATATTTCTTCTCATTTGTACCTCTTCAAAAACCCTTTGTTGCTTCCCTCATTTCTTTCCGTTTTCACCTGGCTTCGCCGCTTTCCTCACTTTTTCCTCCTTGTCCCTCAGTCTTTCCTGTTCTCCTTTTACTGCCTTTCTCTGTTTCTTTCGTTAGCCAACTTTGATGTTCCGGCCCAGAGTCACTTGCCCCCTGACGAAAGACGATTCATCCCTTCTACAGGCAGAATCCCTGTTTAACCTGAGCTCTATCGGCATCAACATGAAAGCGAAAACCGCTTGGCCGACGCAATCATGCAGGAAAGACAGCACATCCCAGCGTGTCCACACTTACCAGATTAGCTGACACACGCACTCACTCCCCCAGAATCTTTGCTGGAGATGGACATAGGCAGGCTTAACTGTCCGACAAGGCAGGCCAAAGTGTAGACACACAAAAGTGGTGCATAAACGAAGCTGCCCTGGCAGCCTCCCCCTTTTTCTCAGAAATTTGTAGGACGGTAGTCTTCTAAACTGTGATTGTACGTTCAAAGAAAATATCATCACCAACAGCCTCACCGTTGCGGTTATTATTGGCCAAAGGGGCTGCATTACAACACCGAGACTTGGGCAAAAAGTCCTGCATAGCTTTGCCAGGCGCAGTGTACGAGCGATAAAACCCCTACTTACACGAAAGCCAAAGGGTGTAGAGCTGACTTGTGTGGTACACGTACCGGTCTGATGTTAAGGCTGTGCTGATGGAATCGATGTACCAGCCGCATACTTGATCAGATGTCCCCTCGACCGGTAGTCATAAGACTGGCTCAACTCAGCCCATCCACGACGAAAGGTTCGGCGCGCCAGTCTCGACCATGGATCCTACAACGAAATGAGTAGTGATCTCGATACGAGTAGTTTTCGATGCTATCAGTAATGCTTAAATAAGTAATTAATCGCTCTGGGTCGCTTAAGATGATATACGAAATGACAGTGGGAGCTTTTCGCACATTCACATGAATAGGCCTCAGGATGCAAAGTAATTTCACCCGGAAGTACTTTCTCACAAGGCGATCTTAGCAAAAACCTATCCCAAAACTAACTTATTATTGGATTGTCGATTAAGCAAATTTGCATTTTCTCTAATTATATTCTATGCTACTTAATTTCGTTGTGAGTATGTTTCAAAAGTATAAATATTTCTCACTCAAGTCGCCTTAAGAGAACCAAGATGATTAAGTTCCTATTCGAGAATTACTGATAATTTAGAAGCAAACTCACAGCGAAACTAGATAAAGAAGTCGATTTTAGAGGAAAATACAAGGCCGGCTCATCCGAAATTCTAGTATAACTAACATTATGGAGGGATCCGTTTTGACTTGAAGTTCGCACTTGGCCTGTGACGCACGGCACCCTTCAAATTCCGCCGACAGTGTGAATGCTATGCAGGCGAGGTTGAAACTGCATTCCAGTCTGAATAAGCAAAATCTTTTTGGAGGTAGGGCCAAATGAATTTTTATTACATCATTTTGGATCACCTTAAGTGGGACAGGGTGACAAAGTTCTTATGTAAAATAATCTTTACAAATTGCACCCTAGGGTTGACAACTTTGAATTGAATCACTATTTTTTCCTATAACATGATACCAAAATTTTGTCTCTTCCTTCTTGCTGCATAGATCATTGTGGTGACGATACATCAGTAACGTATTAACCTTTAAACGGGATCAGATACCTGTTCTTGAGTATCATGTTGACGATGCTCCACTCATTTCAACTGCAGGGGGTGCCGGTAAGTCACAATGTAGATGCGACATTCGGGGCAATCATGGCCTTTCCGTAATTACATTCATGATGTTATTGTCGATTAGACATAATTGTTTTTGCATTTACCCTCAATAACGTTACTTATATTTCATTTGAGTAGTTCTGGAGACTATTAGCAAGTCTTAACTAAGAACATGAACACCTTAAGTTCGCCTCAACTCGGCTTGTTCTCTGTTCACTGGAGACGAAAGGGTCGCAGTTCCAATCTCGACTATGGGTCCGAATCTCATTAGAGTGCTTAAGGTGATATAAACCTGGATATTAAGCCTCAAATTGTCATTATATTGCTCTCATCCCTTTCTTATTTGGTTTCTACCTAGACTTGGTTTCATCAGCCCTCTCAACGGGATTCGAACCTGAACTCGTGAGGATCAAGTCGCAAGGTTATCATTTCACCACAGCCCGGTTATCACCGGGTCAAAGTGTAGATGTGACCTTTACATTATTTTTATAGTAGGTAAACTGAATGGCCAACTGACTAGAGAGATTGTGCGTTGAGAAGGCGGTGATCAATCTGTGTGCATTGCACTGCCATTTATACAAGCTCCGTAAACGGGGACAGAATTGTCTGGGGCTTGAAAAATTGATGCGCCCATGCCATTTTTCACACATTCCAGCTCTGACCTGATCCGCAATCTCAGACATTGTCTTGCCTCTTGTTTACTTTACCCACTCTAGGCACCCAGCATCTGGCCGAGTTAGGGTGAAACGAAGTTTGCCAGGCTCGCAGCAACTCGAATAGCTTTAAAATTCAGGTTTGCCCGTTTATTTGTGTATGTACCGAATGACTGTCAACGGGAACAGGCTAAGCATTACTTGCGAGTTATGACAAAGCAGTGATGTCCATGCGTCCATCCAGTCGCGTTTACGAGTAAAGACATGCATCTGGCGGCTTGACCTGCCCTCTATGTATGGAAAATAAGAGCCAACTGGACTAATGAATCTCAAAAAAAACTGGTTTTCGAGGAATCTCTTACTCAACCAGTGGCGAGTCGACGTTCATTCCGCGTGAAAGTGTGTTGTGAATAGATTCGTGGGTTGATCTCACAAGACCACGATGACGGATTCTGTTCTGTCTATGGTTGTTTGGAATTGCTGAGACGTTCAGGTTGGCGCAGCTTTGGAAACGCCCTTGTTCATTTATGTTGATAAAGCGCTGAGCTTTCACTGTTATAGTACATACGTCATCAGATCAGGGATGCATATTTATGGCACTCTCGGGCTTCCATAAGTTAATGAAAATAGTATTAGTTGTTTTCACCCAATTTCGTTCAAGGTGATGAAGGACTGATAGTTGAATTTTCCCACAATTATATGAATTGAGCTGATGTTTTTCACTAAATTTCACATAGCCTTGCTTTCCTAAAAGGTATTTTCATACAGAGTGGACTGCATAGGTCTTATCAACATCCAAAGCGGGAGTCGAACCATGACAGGGAAGCGTGTAGGCTCGACACGTCAACCACTGCCAAGAGTGCAATTGGCTCACAAGGTAGATGTGAATTTCAAGTAATGTCAGGTATTTTCCATATCACACTCTGTATTGGGATTGTTGATGAAGCAAACTTAT